CGAGCACGCGCTCGCGGGGCCGTGGCGCCATCGCGCCGGCCGCCGGTCGGCCCACCCCCGCGCGCCCGCAGGGACCGCCGCCGACTCGTGTGGAGCGGGGGCGGGGGCAGAGGGACAGTCAGCGCGTCATCCACGCCCTCGCTGGAGTGGCCAGCGCCCTTGCGCCAGCAAGTGGTCGGTAATGAGCACGGCCTGGCTGGAGTCCTTTGGATATCCATCCGACAAGCCCAGACAGGACAGCGCGCCAGCGAAAGCCCCACAGAGCGGCGAGGGTGGGTAAAGCGATGACGAGCAGTTGTCACGCTGGCTCCTTTATGGGAGCCATGGGAGAGCGTCGCGGAAGCACGGCTGGCCACGGACATGGAGGCCAGAGGTCCTTGTCAGGGGACTTGGCTTGGAACGCACCCGCGGTGCCAGGCTCTCTTCAGAAGCACGGGTGGCCGAAGTCCCTATCAGAGGACTTTGCCTGACGCGGTGCCAAAGCCTCCTCTCAGAGAGCACGGCTGGTCACAGGTCCCTTTCAGGGAACTTGGCGGCCACGGGTCCCTTTTCCAGGAACTTGGCTTCGAAGCCACCCGGTGCCAGACGCTCCTTTCAGGGAGCATGGTTCGCCAGATGCTCTTTTCAGGGGACTTGGCGGCCAGAGGTTCTTTTTCATATGGATTTAACCGAATTACAGGGCACGAGGTGCCAGAAGCTCCTCTCAGGGAGCGCGGCTGGCCAGAGGTCCCTCTTCAGGAGACTTTGCGACCAGAGGCCCCTGTCAGGGGACTTGGCACACACGCCGAAACTGCCTTTCCGAAGAGCCACGAGCACCGCAGCAGCTGAGAAATGTTGAAATACTCTAACATTCAGGAACTGGGACGCCGCTGCCCGCCGGAGGCAGTGTGCCAGCGACACGACAAGAGCAGATCTGCTCAAGCCCGCGGGTCTTCTTGCGGAGCGCACGTCAGCATTGTTCCAGGCAAAGCGCCGGCTGATCGCGCCAGGTAGATACGATGACCTTACTTCCACCGCTTCGCGAAGGCGTGGAGGCGATGATGAGACGCGGAAGCATTACGAAGGCAGGCTCCTGATGATTTTCCCGCTGCTGAAACAAATTTATCGTTCACGGAAAATGGGGGGGATGCGGGGAGCGGGCGAAGGTCGGGGAAGGGGACAGGCGAGGGGAGGAGGAGCGAAGGGGGGAGGGAAAGAGAAGAGGAACGGGGGGGGGCAGGGGGCGGCCGGAGGAGGTAACGCGGGGGGGATCCTTCGCGAGGGTGCCCATCTCCCCGCGAGGCTCTCGGGGTTCTCAAAGGGGAACACCCTCCCCTGAGATCCAACGTACAGCAGACGCACAAGAACAACAAAATTATCCCAGTGCGACCCTACCTAGAAGTTGGAGCCTCTAGGAAAGCAACATTAGTAGGAGCGGTAAACGCCGTCCTCCTCATCGTCGTAGTGGTAGTAGTAGTAGTAGTAGTGGTAGTAGTAGTAGTAGTAGTAGTAGTAGTAGTAGTAGTAGTAGTAGTAGTAGTAGTAGTAGTAGTAGTAGTAGTAGTAGTAGTAGTAGTTAGTAGTAGTAGTAGTAGTAGTAGTAGTAGTAGTAGTAGTAGTAGTAGTAGTAGTAGTAGTAGTAGTAGTAGTAGTAGTAGTAGTAGTAGTAGTAGTAGTAGTAGTAGTAGTAGTGTAGTAGTAGTAGTAGTAGTAGTAGTAGTAGTAGTAGTAGTAGTAGTAGTAGTAGTAGTAGTAGTAGTAGTAGTAGTAGTAGTAGTAGTAGTAGTAGTAGTAGTAGTAGTAGTAGTAGTAGTAGTAGTAGTAGTAGTAGTAGTAGTAGTAGTAGTAGTAGTAGTAGTAGTAGTAGTAGTAGTAGTAGTAGTAGTAGTAGTAGTAGTAGTAGTCGTAGTAGTAGTAGTAGTAGTAGTAGTAGTAGTAGTAGTAGTACCCAGTAGTACGCCAGAACCGCCGACGCCACGCCGTAAGTGAAGCAGCAGCAGAAGCAGGCAGCAAGTCGCCGAGACAGCAGCAAAAGCAAGCAGGCACGGAGATGAGGGCGGGGCACTGGGGAGTTCTTTACATCTACATCTATATCTACACCTACATCTACATCGACACCGACTTCTACATCTAGACCTACATCTACATCTACACCTACAGTTACATCTACATCTACACCTGCATCTACATCTACATCAACAGCGAGACTCACATCTACATCTACACCTACATCTACATCTACACCTGCATCCACATCTACACCTACACCTACATCTACATATGCATCTACACGTTCGCATTGGTTTTGTGTGTGCTGTGCATTGCCTTTGCTTTTGCTCTTCCATGTGCGCATGCTCGTTCTATGCTATGCTATGCTATGTTATGCTATGCTATGCTATGCTATGCTGCGCAATGCTGGGCTGGGCTAGGCCAGGCTAGGCTACGCTATGCTATGCTGTGCTATGCTGCGCTATGCTATGCTGCGCTATGCTATGCTATGCTATGTTATGTTTTTGTTTTGCCTTCGCGTTTGCCTTCACTTTTGCCTTTGCTTTTGCTATTGCTTGGCACCCAGGGAGCGCAACTGGGGGAACCGCGCGTTTGCTTGTACCTTTGATGTTGCTTTTGCTTGGCTCCCGGGGGAACCGGGGGAACCGCCCGGGGCGGGTTCCACTGCCCGGCCCCTTTAAGCAAAGAAAGTAAGAACCCCTCTAGGCAGAGCCTAGGTAGGAAAAAACAAAAAGACAAAAAACATCGTGCAAAAATCACGAGTGGAGCCCCAGAACACGCTTTTCTGCGCCATTGTTTCGGGCTCGATCGATCCACGAGGGTCTGTCCCGGAGGCCGAAATAGGGCGAGAATGCCCGGCCCGACAAAAATCGAGACGCCAGTGTCTTTGGGGGGGGCCGAGAGCGGGGGAGAGCGGGCGCGTCTTTGCCCTGACTAGGAGGAGGAGGAGGAGGAGGAGGAGGAGGTAAAGCTTTAGTTCGGCTTTCACTTCCTGGTCAGGGGAGTGTTTCCACTTCCTCATCAGGGACGTACCTGATTGTATCTGGTGGACGGTGGAGTTCGAGAGCGTCTGCGTGCTTGAGCCCGCCTTCACGTTCGTCTTGTGAGGCAGTGTCTGCGTCTGGGCGGAGGGGCGGCGTGAGCGGCTAGGTAGGCAGACTCGCTTGGATGGGGGCCACCGGCTTACCCCTCTCGCCGCATCGAAGGCATCGATGGAGGAGGAGGAGGAGGAGAAGGAGGAAGAGGAGGAGAACGAGGAGGAGAAGGAGGGGAAGGAGGGTCCAGAACCCGCTTCCGCGAGAACCCTTCCCCTCGTGCTGGGCATGGGTCGAAGCCGTGTGGGGAGGAGGGGGCGCCCGCCAAAAGGTTCTCCGCGGGCCTGCGGGACGAGTACCTGCTGCCGCTCTGCGGGGCGATCTGGAGCTGCCCAGTGCAGGAGGCCCCAAGCGCGTCGCCTGTGCCCTTCCGGGCCTCTATCTCTCTCTCTCTCACCCTCGCTCTCTCGCTCTCTCGCTCTCTCTCTATCTCTAGCTCTCTCTCTCTCTCTCTCTCTCTCTTTCTCTCTCCTCATTGAGGTGTTCGGGTTTTATCGTCGGCTCTCAGCGGCTCTCCAGCCGCGAGGTGCCATCCTGCGGCTGCGCCCCGCCGAGAGCGTTCCTGGGGTCACCGTATCGTTCCGAACGGCCGCCGGGGACCCTAGTCATGACCCGAAAGCCACCAGGCGTCAAAAAGATCAGGGGCACATTTCCCCCGTCCCCGTTCCATCCTGCTCCCCATAACCGTTCTCTCCCCCCTCCCTCCTCCCCAAACCCACTCCCTCAGTTTTGCCTTCGCCAAGTCGTCGGAATCGGGGCCGCGCGCAAGCGCCTTCCGTTTGCTAGGGGCTAGATGGGAACGCATTCCAATTCCACGTTGCGCCGCAAAGAATTGATCGTGTTATGGCAGGGAGGGAGGGAGTAGGCGGGGTCCTCTGATTTGCTCGACCTGACTGCCTTGACTCCCCCTTCCACTCCCTCTCGCTCTCCCCCTGCCCCCTTCCCGTCCCTCCACCCCTTCCATCTCCCTCCGTTTTCTCCTCCTGCTCGTCCTCCCCCCATTCCCAGTCCACACCACCCAAAAAAAGACGTAGCACCCCGCACTTGCGGATAAGAGTGAGGGTGCGGCGTCGCAGAAAGCTTTCGCCCAGGACCCCCCGTCCAGGACCCGCTGTCGAGCAGAAACGGATCCACAACGGCCCCGCACGCCCAGGCACAAAGTAAGACCGTTCGGGCACCATCACTACTACTATTGTTACTACTACTACTACTACTACTACTACTACTACTACTACTACTACTACTACTACTACTACTACTACTACTACTACTACTACTACCTACTACTACTACTACTACTACTACTACTACTACTACTACTACTACTACTACTACTACTACTACTACTACTACTACTACTCATCTTCTGTCCTGGCGCGCCAGTCGCCGTCTGGGTGGGGTCGTGAGGCCATGGATCCCTCCCAGCGCTCGGCCTCCCCAGCGCTGAGAGGCTGACGGGGGAGGAGGAGGAGGAGGAGGAGGAGGAAGAAAAAGACGGAGAAGAAGAAGAGGCGGAAGAGGCGGAAGAGGCGGAAGAGGCGGAAGAAAATGAGGAAGATGGGAAAGAGGGAGAGGAGGGCGAAGGAGGACGGAGGAGGACGGAGGATTGAGGACGGATTGTGGGCGAATAGGGCTAGGACGGTGGCCTGCTTCCGAAGAGGCAAAGTCCAAGAAGAGAGAATCGACGGGCAAGATGAGGTGGCGGCCGCGCTCAGCGCGAGCCAGGAAGGAGGGGAATCGGGAGGAGGGCAACGGGAGGAGGGAGGAGGTGGGGATGGGCCAGGGAGGCAGGGAGCAGGGGCCATCTAGGGATGGGGAGAGAAGGAAGGAAGGGAGGGAGGGAAGGACTCAGAGAGCGGGGGGCAAAGAGACTGTGGGGGTGAGCCAGGGGCGGGAGCCCAGGTGCTCGGCTTCCCCATGGTGGCTGTGCTGAGCTTCATGTCGAACCACTGGATGCTGCACCGCCTCCGGCCCAAGTGGCGCACCCCGAAGCACCGCTCCTCGGACTACGTGCGCCGCCTGCACCAGGCGCGCGCCCTCCGGGGCAGCGCCGCCCCTCGGGCGGTGCGGCGGCCCGGCGCCCGAGGTGCCTGGCCGCGGCCGCGCCCGGCGACTTGCCCCCAGGGTCGGGAGCGGCCCTGCCGCCGGGCGCGTTCCCCGACACATTGGCGCCTCCGGCGCCAGGAGGCGCCAGGCCAACCGGCCACGTGAGCTGATTCGCCAATCCCCCCTTCTCGTCCGACCCGACTTGCCCTGCCTGCTCTCTCACGCTCTCCCTGTTCCTTGGCCAGGAGGGGGGCGATTACTAGGGGGGGATATCATGGCGGGTGCCATGAGATCTCCCTTGATTTCGTGGCGCCTCTTCTTATCTGAATACGTTCCCGCCCCCTCACCCCCTCACCTCTGGGCCGCGCACCTGCCGCCGGCCATGATTTGCGCCTCCCCCCTCCGCCTGGCGCAGACAAAGGCAGCAGCAAGCAACACCGAGCAGCATCAGGCAGCCGCGAACGACTGCAACTGGCAGCTTCAGCCGCAGGCGGATTGTGCAGCAACGACTCCCGCTGAGCCCGCAATCGGACTAGCGCCCACAGAAAACAAGCATGCTACAGATAAGCCAGCTAAAGTCAAGAGACACAACCAACAAACAAGAGCCTGGGCGAAGAACCCAACAATATGCAATTGTGAATAATGAGGCTGGGAGTATCCTCTTCGATGGCGCACGTTATGGGGCCACGGAAAAGGTGAGGCCACGAAAAGTGTGAGGGGTGTGCCGAAACGGGCGCGGGGCTGCCATGCGAACGCAGCCACTCGGGCATTCGTTGGAGCTCCCTACGGGGGGGCCACGAAACGTATCAGGGGTGTGCCGACTCGGGGCGGGCCGCCATGCGAACGCAACAACTGGGGCCTTCGTTGGAGCACCCAATGGGGCCACGAAACATGTGAGGGTATGCCAGATCGGGTGTGGAGCCGCCATGCGAACGTAGCCACTGGAGCCTCCGGTGGAGCCCCCTATGGGGCCACGTAACGTGCGAGGAATGTGCCGAATCGGGTGCGGGGCCGCCATGCGAGCGCTGCCACTGGGGCGTCCAGTGGAGCCGCCAAAGGAGGCACGAAACGTACGAGGGGTGTGCCGAATCGGATGCGGGGCCGTCTAGCGAGCGAAGCCATTGGGGCCTTCGGTGGAGCCCCCTTATGGAGTCACGTAACGCGCAAAGGGTGCGCCGAATCGGGCGTGGGTCCGCCACGCGAACGCACCCACTGGGGCCTTCGGTGGGGCTCCCTGTTGGGCCACGAGACGTTCGAGGGGAGTGCCAAAATGAACACGTGGAGAGCAGGAGCAGGGAGCAGGGAGGAGGGAGGAGTTGGAGGAAGTAGGGACGCGAGGCGATGCGTATTCAAAACGGGGAACCAGCACCACAGGAGATTAGCTGCCTCGACACGCCCGTTTTAGGACGCAACACGTACCATGCTCACAGCATTCGTGTCAATACGTTGCGTGTTGGCTCAACGTTTTCGTCCACGTGTTGGCGAACGCATCGCGTCAGACCTACGTTTTCAGTCGACTTGTTGAGCTCCGCATCCGTTCGCCACGTGTTGCGTGTTTCGTATCGGGGCAGCTGAGCACAGGACGGTTGGGAAAAACAGGGCGATTCTTCTGAGGCTCGCGACGACCACCACGACGACGACGGACGATGACGACAACGACGATGACGAAGACGAGGACGAAGCCGAAGACGACGACGAAGACGACGACGACGACGACAACGACGAAGACGAAGACGAAGGCGAGGCCGAAGATGAAGACGACGACGAAGACGACGACGACGACAACGACGACGACAACGACGAAGACGAAGACGAAGGCGAGGCCGAAGACGACGAAGACGACGGCGGCGGCGGCGGCGGCGACGACGACCACCACCCTTCTCGGCACGCCAGGCCCTCGCCGCGGCGGGGGCGAAGACGCGCGCCGGGGTGGACGTCGCCAAGGTCGTGGAGGTGGAGGTGGTGACCGATGCTCCCCCATTCATTCATCCTGCTCATTCTCGTCCTCCTCCGCCCCTTCGCCTCCTTCTTCTCCGTCTCCCCCCCAGCCTTATATTGCCCGAGATCCGCTACACTCTGTAGGGACGCAACATGGACGAAAGTACTCCAGAAATACTAAACGACACATGTTTGATAGCAACGTTCGGATACTCGAAAAAATCAGTGAAAAAACTCAGCTGATCATAGAATAATATACATCTAGTACCATGCATATTGTGATAATACTATGAATCATAGACATACTTAAACCATATGCATATACACGCAACCGCACGCGGGGGCGGAAAAGCCTTGGGGAGGACGAACGAACAGGACCAGGAGGAGGAGGAGGAGGAGAAGGAGGAGGGGGAGGAGGAGAAGGAGAAGCAGGAAAAAACGGGAGTGGAAGGAGGAAGAGGAGGAGGGGGAGGGGGGAGGGAGAGGAGAGGGGGAGGGGGGAGGAGGAGGTCCTCCCCCTCCCCCCCCCCCCCTCCTCCCCCCCCCTTCTCCACCTCCCCTTCCCCCTCGCCCCCCTCCCCCCTCCCCACCCCCCCCCCATCCGCCATCCTCCTTCCTCGCCCTCCCTCCTCCCCCCCTCCTCCTCCGCCTGTTCCTCCTCCTCATCCCTCCTCCTCCTCCCCCTCTCCCGTTTCCTCTTTCACCCCGCCCCTCGCGCGCGGCGGCGGTGCACGCAGGGCCTGGTACTTGTTGAGGTCGTGTCAGGGGGCGGCGGCGACGGCGAGGACGGCGGCGGCGGTTGCGGCGGCGGCGACGACGGCGGCGGCGGCGACGATGACGACGTCGGAAAGGAGGGGGTCGGGACGGGGAGGTGGAGGGGCGGGTCTGGGCGGGGGGGGACGGGCCGAATAAGTGTGAGGGCTTGGTGCAGGAAGGACGAGCGGGATGAAAACGAGGGCCACGAGGGCGAGGGAGGAGGGGGAGGGCAAAGGCAAAGTAAAGTCGAGTAGGATAGTGCACGGCAGAAGCCTTGACAAAGTAAGCCTTTGATGAGGAATCCAGGGTCTGGAGAGCCAGTGGAAGCCCGCTTGCGCCGAGCAGAGTAGGGCACAGTAGCGTAGAGTAGAGAGTAGGGCTAAGGGGGGCAGGGTCGAGTAGGGTAGAGTAGGTGTCGTGCGGTAGAGTAGGATAGAGTAGGCCCAGGGTAAGATAGCGCAGGGCAGAGTAGGGTAGTGTAGGGTAGAGCAGGGCAGGGTAGGTATAGTTGGGTAGAGTAGGTTGAGTAGAGTAGGTTAGATCAGAGGGAGTAGGGGGAGCAGTGTATATCCAGAGTCGGTAGGGAAGGGAGGGGTAGAGTAGGTTAGAGCAGAGAGAATAGAGTAGTTAGAGCAGACATGGCAGAGTCGAGCAATTAAGGCCAGGTAAGTGAGCGGAGGAGGGAGAGGAGGGGCGGAGGGGAGGAGGCGGAGGAGGTGGAGGTGGAAGGGTCAGGTAGGTGAGGGCAGGCGATGGGGCAGGCATGCGAGGTTAGATGGGGTAGGGGGTGGAGGGGTCGGGAGGAGGGGGAGGAGGTGGGGAGGAGGGGTCTGTTAGGGGACGAGGGGGAGGACGTGAATGAAGGGGTCTCATTTCCTGTCCCCGCGTGTGGTCACAGCCCGCACGGCACCCGAACGGCGGAGCTGCGTTCCCCATTGCCTCGCTGGCTACAGTCGCGAGACACCCCTTCTTGCGACCATGCCGCAACAGCGGCAAGCCCTGCGGTCGCGCCGAGTCGAGCTCGACTTCACTTCATCCTCAGCGCGGAACGGTACCGATCCACGAGCGGCGCTGGGAGATCGCCAGGTTGCACCTCGGCCTTGCGCAGCTTGGCCTGGACCGACGTCATCCTGCCACGGAGCTCCACCTTGTTCTTGACAAGGTCCTTATCCACGAAGCACTCGCAGAGCTCCGCGCTGATGACCTGCACGCGAATGGCCTTCAGAGGCATCTCCAAATCGATGACATTCTGCTCATCGATCTGCACTCCGAACTCAGCCGCCTTGTTGACCAGCTCATCCTTGTGAGTGTCGACCTTCCCGCAGTCCTCCGACCACGCACCGACGCTGGCGTCGCACAAGCCAGCCTTGCACAAAGACAACACCTCATCCAAGCTTGTGCACGATGGCGCCTTCTCGTCGTAGTCCTTGCACCCTGGAACAGCATTCATGGCGTCCACGAGCGCATTCACCTCCATGAGCAGGCCCTTATGGAGGTTCTCCACGATGTTCGTTCCGACGCGGTTGGTCAGCTCCCTGGCAACATCCATCTTGTCGTTGATGACCTGGCTCGCATCGGCGACGAACGAGTCGAGCAAGGCTGGTTTCATGCTATGCTTCTGCTTCTGCGAGGCCCTGACGAGCTCCTTCGTCAAGCGCTCCTGGGTGGCGCCGTCTGTCGGGGCACTCTCCACTGGGAGGTCCACGGCATCCGACAGGCTCTTGTACGCGACTATGGCCCCCACGACGCATTCACCATGCTTCCAACCTTCGTGCAGGTGTCGACAAAGGCTTGCGGCACGTGGGGCGCGAGCGTCTCCAGGGTGTCGTAGTAGGGCCCATCTGATTGCTGCATGAAGCCTTGGCCACGTTCTTCGATCGCACCCCTGACGACTACCCGGAACAGCTTGTAGCACATCTCGCGGACATCATCAGGCAGCTCCTTGGCGCGGCAATCGCGCAGCGCATCGCGGAGGCGGCGCGCGTTCTCGGGGTGAGGGCCCCACTCCGAGATCGCCGAGCAGACGACGTCGTGCTTGGACGCCGAGTCCAGGTCCAGGAGCTTGGAGTGGATCGCCTGCGCCGCCTTCTCAACGCCCTCGCCCGCAGGGAAGAGGACCGACATCTCCCTGAAGAGGTCCTTGAACACGCGCAGGACGGCAGCGGGGTTCTCGTGAATCTCTTGGCTGGTGCCTGCTCCGACCGCCGTCGACGCCGAGTCAGACAACACGCTGCAAGCCTTCTACTGCCTTCTCGAGCAACGCGGCCCCGACGTCGTCGGCCGCGCCATCGTAGATCCTCGCGTCCCAATGGGGGATGTCCCTCGCAACGTGCAACGTGAACTCGCCGTTCGCCTTGGTGGGCGGACCGACCAATGACATCTCGATCAGCTTCGAGTGCGAGTCCTGCAACGAGGCACCGTGCTCCTGGATGGCCTTGGCGCGGTCGTTAGCCCAGTCGATCTTCTCCTGCCAGAAGCCGCCAGCGCTCATCAACATCGCCTGGGCCGCGATCCATGCGACGCTCTGGTTGCCCGTGGTACGCGACGCCTCGCTGTGGGGCATTTCGAGATGGCCGAAGGTATCTAATTTGGCGTCGTGCGTCAGCGTGCTGGCGAGCAGCGCCTGCACGGTCTTACACACCATGTTTCCCTGAAGGAGGCTCTCCGCGGCCAGAGTTCCCAAGACGGCGTCCTCGGGGAGCTGGCCCCAGAAATCCAGGGCGTGCTCGACAAAGGCAGCCACCTTCGACACTGCGGAGTTCCCTTGGCTGAGCCACTTGCTGAGACCACGACTGAACACCCACTCCTGGAAGAGGTCGACCACGTCGTCGTCGGTCTCGCACGCTTGGATCATCGTCACGTTGCAGGGGTCGACGTTGGCACCGTTGGACAGCTGTCCAGGGTTCGCCCACGGAGCGGTCGCCTGGAAGAACGCCTGCAAGTAGATCTTAGTCTTCCCGTCGCTGGTCTCAGGGTCCACGATGTTCTCCCATATTGAGTCGACGCTCCTCTTGGCAAGGCCCCGCAGGGCGACGTTCGTGAGCGTCGCGCCTGCCTTCCTCAACTCCTTCCAGTCCTTCCTGAGGTCCTCGTCTACCTCGCCCTTGCATTGGGAGGGGCTAAACTTCTTCGCCTTGGAGTACAGGCCTAAGTGGATCCCCAAGTTCTTGCGCTCGCACCCCAAGAGCTTCCCATGCAATAACCTCGCCTGGTTCTCCGCGCGTCCGCTCTTGTACTCGTTGAAGGCCCGCTCGAACCTCAGCTCGAACACCCAGTAGCCGACCGTTCCGCAAGTGCACGGGTTGAGCAAGTCATCATCCGCCGAATGCTTCGGCGTCTCCCCGCCCCTCGGATTGGCGGACGGCGTCGGGGGCGCAGACGGAGGCCGCTTGAAGGGCCCCTTGGCAACCGAACCGCACGACGGCACAGGCTCAGGCCGTCCAGTCCGCTCGGGATCTCCGTCAACGTCGATTGCGCCCCCATCGCTCGGAGCTGCACTCCCCATGTCATGTGCGCTGCCACCGCACGCTTCGTCGCTGCCCGTGATCGCGACGGCGTCATCCCCCTCGTCACCGTCGATCAGACCAGAGCTAGCCTTGCCGTAGCGCCTCCTCGCCTTCTCGTTCAGCGCGTCGCGGCGGTCCTTGATGGCAGTGAAGGTCGGGATGCTGGAGTTGACGCCGAAATTGAAAGTGAAGGCGCCGTCCTCGCCCTTGCAGCTGGAGCTGCCGCTGCCGCACGCGGCCCCGAGAAGCAACTCCGCCTGCCCATCAAACATTTGGGCCCCGTCCTTGCAATGGTTCAACTGCGTCCCGATACTGCTCCGATGGGCGATCTTCATCGTCGGGTATTTCAACTTCCTGTCGGGCGTCGGCATGAAAGGGTACACGGTGACGCAAGAAGGCCTCTGAGCAACCTGTATGCCTTTGATGCTCAACGTCTTGGGGGACTCGCCGAACTCCTTGACGACGTCGCTGGCGGTCAGCGCGCACACCTTGATGTAGAGCTCGTGCCCGGCAGCCATGGACTCCAGCACGCTGGGGCCCTTGGCGCCCTCTGGCGGCTGCTCTGCCACCGAGCTCGGCACGGTGCCGTCGTTGAACAAAGAGTCCATCATGCCGTTGGTCATGGCCTCCACCGCGGCCTTGAACGTCCACCCAGGCATCTCCACGAAGACGAAGTTGACGCACTGCTCGCACGCAATGTCCGCATCGACGAGGATCGCATCCAAGTGCTCCTGGCCGCCGCCGCTCTTGAAGATCTTG